GGAAAAAAAGCCATTTTGTTCAGTATAAACTCATTTTTTGCACATTGACCTTTACATTACTAGGTCTCCAGTCTGAAGGACAAGAAGAATTAGTCAACCACTAGATACCTGTTAAACTATGTTATAACATGTCATGTTAAATACCATGTTATGTTGTTTAAACTATGTTATTTTAACTATTTTAAAAGATACCTTTTGAACTATGTTATAACTATGTTATATGTAAACTATATTATACCTTTTAAACTATGTTATATGAAGCTGACCTTCACCGTCTTCTTGCTCCCACTGCTGACCAAGCATGCCCGTCCTGGCCCTTCGTGAGGCAGCTGCTGGCCACCAGAGGCGTTCTTCCCATGGTCGTGCATGGCGGTTTCCTTGCGAGACCTGGGGAAGATGACCTCATGTGGCCAGCAGTTGCCTCATGAAGGGCCAGGATAGTCATGCCTGGTCCGCAGCGGGAGCAAGAAGATGGCGAAGGTCAACTGGGGCAGGATGGCAGGGGCCTCGGAGTCCAGGGTAGTGAGGGCAACTACAGCTGGGACTGGACTAGGATGGCTGGGGCTTCCCAAGACATGGCAGCTTTGCGCTGCACCACTGGGGCTTCCTGGGACCTGGTGGCTTTGCACCATGCTGTTGGGGTGGCTGAAGCTTCCAGGGGTGGCTGCAGTTTCATGCTGCGCTGCGATTCAAGGGCTTTTTGCAGTCCCAGAGCCACACAGTTCTGGGGCTGCTTGCCTCCCTGCAAAGTAGGGTGTAGGGCAGCCAAAAGGGCAGAAATGGGGAGGAGATAATTGGGGTGGGGGGAGTTGAAGAGGAGGTAGTCCCTTACCTTACCAAGGCTCGGGGCTGCGAGGGACCAAGCTTGGAATGGCTTGGATTGGGGTGGGTCCTCGGCTATCGACCGGTGAAATTTGGTTAACAACGGCAACGGGGACTGTTGGGATTGTCGTCACTAAGCGATGATGTCGTGCTTTATGATGGCATCGCTTAGCGACAGAAATTCCGGTCCCAGTTGTGGTCATAAGTCAAGGACGGCTTGACTTCAATTTAGGCATCCTTCCACAAGATTTGTTTGTTTGATTGATTGATTGATTGATTGATTGATTGATTTCTATAGCCACCCATCTCAACAAGTGACTCTGGGCGGCATTTTGTCCTGGCACATCTGTTTCAGCAACAGCCATGAACAAAGGACATATTACGATCCTACAAATTATCTGATTCCAACTCAGTTGCTCTTGAACTTCAACTCAGTTAACTCCTGGTTCCCACAGAAGATACAAGGCTGAAGACCTGTTGATTAAATGTTACATACAGGGCTAATCCACTATATTTTGTTGATCCTGAAGAAGAAAATCTCACACTCATGTTTTCATCAAGCTGTTCGATGATGATGATGATGATGATGATGATGATGATGATAAGGAGGAAGAGGAGGAGGAGCACCCAGATTTGCTAGGCTGGCTACTTCGTCTGCCTAATGGTAGGGTCACCATTGACTGCTCAAGCCTCCAAACATTATATTTTGCAAGTATATATTTGAATATAGCTTCTACGTGGGAACATCTGGGACCATCAAAATGGGACTTGTGCACTTGGAAGTCATGTCCTCATTCCCCTGCCCATAACCATATAAACAATACACCCCACTTTGGTCTAAACCAGTGTTTCTCAGCCTTGGCAACTTCCTGCTGTGTGGCCTTCAGTACCCAAGATTCCCCAGCCAGAAAGGCGATTGCTGAGAATTCTGGGAGTTGAAGTCCATACCTCTGGAAGTTGGGAAACACTGGTCTGCACCAAGTACCTGAGATACTTAAATATGAAATATGGTACCAGTAAATAACAAACACTCTTGTTACCTAGAAGGAAAGATGCTATCTTAATACTCCCCCCGAGTTCCTATGACAATACAAGAGTGCGTTGGTCTAAAATCAATATAATAAAATAGCAGCATACTGTAGCATGGAGAGGGATGTTTTCCATGAAGGTTGCACTGGCAGCCCCAGTTCTTTACTGGTCCTGGAACTGTATGAGGAGCTGAAATATCTTTGTGACAGTGTCATCTCCATCACCAGAAGAACAGATTAATAATTCTATCTGCTTGGTTGGAGTCTTCAGCGTGCACCTGCACCAAATATGCCTTACTTAAATAAGCATGTGCATTATGCCGAGTCATTGTAGAGTTACGTATACATTTAAATAAATAAAGTGAGGGGTTTTGATTCATATAATTTGATAAGCTATATATCAAATGTATATGAATAGCCAAAATGTTCAATTAGATTAAAGGCACATTCACATTGGGAAGATAAGAGACACATTTCCAAATAATCCATTTATCAGACTTTGGGTTTTCCCCCAGCGTAACCATAAAACAGTGGGTTCCTAGAGCAGCCCATGTTTGCAGGACTTCTCTAAGTCTTCTCATCAGCAAATGAGAAGATTGCTCCAAATAAAATCTGCCCAGCCAAGGCATACCCAGAGTACTTGCTAAGAATCCCTATCCCCCACAATGTGCAGCAGGAGGGGAACCGCATCCTCTTCATTAACATTTAGAAGGCTGCTGAAAACCTAGGAGTTGAAAAAGCATTTGGATGTTTTAAGCAGATACTGTCAGCTCCATCAAGTAGACCAGACCGAGAATCAACTCAACAGGAAGGCTAAGACTGCTTTTATTGAAAGTGGCTATATGTGATGGAATGGAATTATGAAGGCCAAGCTCAGGGAGATACAGTAAACATTAGTTCCTTGGGCTAGGCCTGACATCAATCTTCCCAGACTAAACCCCCAGTTCCCAAAGTCCTCCAGCCACAACAGTGTGAATTCCTCAGGGAGGTGCCAGTCTCATCCCCTTGTTCCTCCCACGTGGTTCTGGCGAGCTAAGAAAATGTTTATCTCCCTGAGCTTGGCCTTCATAATTCCATTCCATCACACTATAACAGAATCTTGCAAGTTTGATTGTGCCGTGCCACCTCCCCTTCTTATATCCATGTGAATTAGGGAGGTGTCTGAGCCAGTTAACCATACTTTCTGCTTGTTTTGAACTTAAGCTGTTTTCCTCCTCGTTGCCTTGGTAACGGATCTGGCCTATCTCTGTCAAGGTCATCTTCCTTACTCTCTACAGATACTGAGGGTGTGTAAGGCACTGTTGGTTGTTGTTTTATGAATTTACAGCTGATTGATGGTTTAATTATTTATGACATTTGTATTTTATAACTTGCAATGTGTCTATTATTGTGTAGACTGCTTAGATTAACCCAACAGAAGCCCCACAGAAGTACTTGTGGATGGATGGAGACAGATGATGAGAGAGACAGAGAGATGTAAGCTTTTTGTGAGGACAAGTTGAGTGAGTCAGCCCTTTCTTCTGGCCATGACTTAGCTTTGTTGGCTCCCATGAGATGTTCTGTGGAACATCATGAGTAATCAATACCCTTTTGTCAAGTCCAGGGGCTCCTTCAGGACAACATGGATTGATAACACTTACCCAGATATACAGTCTATCTATATACTACTAAAACTCTCCTGTCTGTTTGTCTCTTTGTCACGGTGCATCATAGGGCAACAATTTCTGAAGCAAGATACCTCAAATGGGCTAACTTAAAGAATGTGCCCAAAATCTGGGAACCATGACTCCCATGGAATTGAAATGTCAAGGATCTTCACACTAGTTCTATTAGCAAAGTCGTGGTCACTGCAGGGTTGCCATGGTTAGCCACAGTCTTGTGATTGTGATCTATGACTACACTTCCCAGAAACCCATAGGTTGTGTGATGCAAGGGAACATGGGAAGGGCATATTCCTGCCCTCTTTCCTGCCTCCCTCTGGCCCCTGTGCCCAGTCAGCTGGTGGCAAAGCCCAACAGGTGGGCAGCGATTGGCTGCTTTGGAACCAAGGCCAAAAATTGAAATCTCTTTAATGGCAAGGGAAGGACAAGGGAGCAACTTGGATGCCTGCTGGTGAGGTAGGGGTGGCTGTGGGGCACTGGCAGTTGATGGGTGAACCCTCTTCCTCCTAGAGGGAGGGGGACCTTGAGGACACACTAGGATGGGGAGTGGGGTTGCAGTTTTCCTTATGGTCTGCAGCTCCCTCTGTTCCCCATCCCCCCAACAAAGTGGCAAGCAGTTCCATGGGTCAGCTGAGAAGGAAGAGGTGGCTTCACCGTGGCTCTGTGAAGGATTGTGAGGGGTGGGGAAATGGCACCAGCCTATATTATATGTGGAAAGAAGGATGACCTAACAGGTCATGGGTTGTCTAGTATTCAATAAAGTAGGGACCACTTGATCAGCCGCTGGACCCTATAGGGATTTTGAGAGCATGTTGTAGATGTTATTAGTTGCATTGAGGAACAATTATCCCATTTGAAAAGAACTGCCATGGTGATATGGCCAGTTCAATAATGAAAACATTAGGTAGATCACAGTGCCCCAAAGACACCAAGCAGTGTTTATGGGCACCATGTTGGGGACCCAACAATATTCCAACAAATTATTGGCTGTAATAATCAACCACCCACATTCCTGTAACTGACTTTTCTCTGTCAACACTCTTGGTCTCCCAACTAAGAACTTTTGGAAGATGACTCCACTTCAGCCAGTTACTTATGAAACATGCCTTCATTTCATTTTTAGAAGCATTAACAGTGATTTGTTTCCCCATCAT